AGCATGCGTGGCAGAAAATCACATCAGAAGAAGAGAACATTCTACAGACACAGTCCATATTTATACATAATCTTGTCTCTGTCCAGTCCAATCGGGTTCCAGGTGACCTCATCTCTGCACCTGGGCTCTTTCTGGTTTCACCTCATTGCATCAGCTTAGGATGATTCAGCTTTTCTCTCATCTGCACATAATGGCAGCTCATTAATGAAACATATATGGGTTCAGGCCTATAAAATTCTACACCCTGACAAACTATTTTTTACTTTGTAGATAGGGATGGTCTTATTCAGTGTTAGCAGAGCTTTGGTGCTTAAACCCATCCATAATTTGTTTTTGTTTTTTCCAAATTTTCATTATATTAATTACTTGGTAACTGAATGTGTAAAGGAAGTTGTTAATCAGCCATATTGTACAGCTGTGCATAAATCTGAGTCATGTTGACTAGGCAGAAGCCTATAAAATCACCTGAGGTGAGGTAATGTTACCTGATTGGTCATATGTACTATATGCACAGAGGAACACACATGTTGTATGGAGAGTTTGGAGATTTGCTAGAGGATATGCTGTTGGACTATTTTGTAAAGACTGTACATATGTAATATAAGCTTTAAGGAAGAAACTGGTCTTCTCTAAGAGAACCTTGAAGGATAGTTGTACTCTTTGCTTTGCTTTGCTCAGCGCACCTCAATACTTCCTTGACAGTGTACGAGTTAATGACTTCCCAGATGTCCTAGCCATAACATCTGCTGAGATCTTGCAAACTAATAGCATCTTATATTATGTTCTCACTTCCTACTGCCCCCCCAAGCAATACAGTCTTTTCCAGTAAGTTTTGTTCAGGTCTTACAAACTTAACAGCTGCAGATTTCTTTGTTTTAGTCAATTCAACTCACATTAAATCTTCCTCTTTTCCTATCATACCACTTATTTAGGAGCTGTACATCTCACCGCCTTCATCTCCACGTACAGCTGTATACAAATGCCTCTTTTCTCAGTGCTTGCACTTTCAGACACTTTCAATTAATTTTCAATCTGGTATAGACCAAAAGAAGTTGCAGAGAGTATAAAGCAGCTCACTCCTGAAGAAGGCTTCACCGAAATACGTTGAGCCAGAGCTTTTTAATGACCCATTTGAAGAATACAAAATAAAGAACTTGATTCTGTTTTGTACATCCTGAGACTTTGTCTCTCATAATCTGGACTAAAAAGGGGGTGACAAATTGATGAATATAGACAAATAAAACTGGGTTAATTTTCATCTTTTTTTATTCATTGGGGCTCCAGAACTGATGAATAAGGAGCAACAAATATGTGATGAATCAGTAGTATTCATCAAAAACCATGATTCGTTTTTGTATTTGTCCCCATCTCTACTCACCACCACCACATTTTAAATGAGTTGATTTCCTCCCCCCCTTCACTGTTTCTCTTTTACATAGTATAGATGATTTTGACCTTGGTTTCCAGTGAGTTTTTGCTAACCCACAGTCTCCCTCTTTTTTTATTTCATAAGATGAGGGGACATATTTTGGAAAACATGCATACAACATGTTTGTAGAGCAAGAGTTTAAAACTCCATTCTGCACAGTAGGCATGGCAACATTTGTTTATCTGAGAGGTTTAAAAGATGTGTCTGTTTATTTGCTAGATGCGTTGCACTCACATTTTTGCTTCATCATGTCATTAAAGTCCAAAACAGCCCTTTAAAATATTTTGGAACAGAAGGACTGCAGCCACATCCTAGCTGTTCTTAGCTGTGCCCTCTCCCATTGACCATGTCACACACACCCAGTTCCCGTTTGTTCTTCTACGCCACCCAGGTTCACTTTTGGGTATTTACTTTTCAACCCTTTCCACTGCCACCAGAGGATTTCTTCCTCTTATCAAAAATCACTCCTAAATCACAGTTATCCAATATAACAATATTTATGTGTTTAAATCATGTAAAGTGAATCATGGATGGTCTTATTTTATTCATTCAATACATTGTGCTTTGATAACATTTATATTTGCTTATGAAGAATGTTTTTATCCAACTGATATCCCTAACTGAAGTCCCTAACTCTAACCCATATCCCCAACTGATCTTTAACTGCCTTCCATTCTTCTTATATTTCTTTAGTTCCACCCCTCCTTATTCAACCATTGGTTGTTAAATCAGGGTTCCATTGTGATGGACAGGAGTTGTTACTGACCTGTCCGTCACACAGATCATGTAATCATCTTCTGTGATCCTCTAGCACTGGGTAATTCTACATTAGGGAAGTTGCTTTTGGAATGTGTGTAGTTCAATTATCCAAAAAAAACCCAAACCTCTGGTTTATGAATGTGAGATATTGTGCTTCTGTCTCCACAACTCCAATATCAGAAAATAATCTGATATTCTGTGTTGCCAGCAGGAAAGAAGGATGGCAGACTTTATATAGCAAATGGCAGGCTGAATGTTGACAACTCCAAGATGGTCTACAGCAAAGGTCCCCAACCCCTGGTGCGCAGCCCTGTGCTAGTCCATGGGCTTGCCAGAACTGGGCCATGGAGATGGATCTCTGCCCCCCCCACCTGCCTCCACAAATGGTGGACATGTTATGCTCATATGGGGGGTTCAGCCTCATGCAGGAGGCGTGTTGCACTCATGGGGGCATGTCACACTCACTCGGGAATATAACGCATGCTCTGGTGCCCCCGCCCCCCATGCATGGAGCCCACCCCACAAAAAAGATTGAGGACCGCTGGTCAACAGGATACCCTCTTCTACTCACTATCATTCAGAGACAACAAAGCAAAGGAAAAACCCAGAAGCTGACTCCTTTGTTCATCAGTTAACCACTTCTCACTGAAACACAAAGCAATTGTTGGGGCTGTTTTCCAACACGTTTCCTAGGTATCTATAATTTGAAGCCACAGAATAATCAAATATCTAGAAAATATGTGTCTTTCAGGTTAACTGTGAACTGGAAGGCACAGCACTCTCCACCATCCATATTGGAAAAGAAGTCCCAGCCATCTTTCTTCAGGTTTGTTTTTTATGCTCAAGAGTGGAGCAGAACATATCTGGAATTTGAGAGGCTAAAAGGATGAGTAACACAAAGGATGTTGCAAGATCTCAATTTAAACCACTCTCAAAGATGTGAAGTGTGGGTATTTCTTTGCAAAAAAATGCTTACTATAAAATCATTGGGGATTAACAATCTGAAAGACAGTCTGATAGGTATGCCAGGAAGGTTTTCACAGGAAGGTTATGGAAATCCTGAGTGATATTTAATAAGCAAAACTAAAGAAGAAGCGCTTTGGAAATGCGAAGCAGAATGTACATCTCTTCTAACAGAACCCTCCTTTCTATAGCAGTGACTAGAGAGTATACAGCACTTCAGGCTAACTTATGATTTGTCAGCCATGCTGTACAGTAAAAATAGCTTTGTCCTTTAGTACCTTGTTTTGTTCCGCATAATGGCAGAGCTGCCTTGATTTCCAGCATTGCATACTACCAGTCAGTTGTTACTTCTTAACATACTATGCAGTCTTTCTGGAGTAAATTCATCAAGTTCCAAGTACTAAGAAAAGAGACTGCAATTTATGAATTAAGTGATTAGAAGGAGTCTACATTTAATATTCAGAAATACACCATGTTTCAGGACTGCAGCATAAAATGGAACTATTAAATTCAAACATGAAAGCAGTAATGATTCAGTCACTATCCATGCAGGTCTGTGGAACACATTGAAGAAATGCATCTATTTATTACGAACTAATGAAGCAACATAAATCCACACTGAAAGAATATTTTTAGGGTAAGCATGAACATATACTGCTAATGCAAACTCTACATTTGGAATATCAGTAGTGTGAACTCCAGTGCTGTATACAGCCTCTATTAAAGATGTAACTTCGGAGAATGGCCTGTGGATAGGAAACCCTGATACCTGCAAGGAAGAAAAAAAAATGCAAATCTGAAATTATAATAACAAAAGGTGGTGAAAAACCATTTGAGGCTAGGCAATTCACAGCATGCTCAGTTCTCACAGGCTGGAGAGCATGTGGCCTTGTAGCTATTGTTGGAAACTAGAAAACACTTAAAACAGGAAGACAAGCAGGAAAGTCAAGGAACAGATATGTTGCCTCTCCTCTTCCTCTCAGAAAGCCTTGTCCCCCCCCCCACTCCCCCAGTGTTTTGCTGCCAGCCATGTAAAATTTAACTTGCAGGACACAGCAGACATACGAATTTTCCAACACAGTCTATAAGGAAGCCACCTGAGTTGCTTATTCAACTGAAAGAGGTTTCCCATTGCAGATGGATTGAAGCAAGTGGATCAGATTGCCCAGAACCTTACCCTTCTTTGGGGAAGGTTGTCATAATGTACAGTATAAGATATACATCCTTTTTGAGTTGGGCCTGGAACCCCACTGTTAACTCAGTACTGTAAATATACTTTGCAGAGACCTCCCTATTCCTCAGGGACAGAAATTAGAGACAGTACCCTGTAATCTCCCAGTTGTTTTTGCAACTCTGCTTGGTGGTCATCTTCCACTCCTTTGCCATGATTTTTTTCCAACACAGGCAAGAAGTGACGAAGTGTGGAAGTACAGTATCTGTTCCAGCGAGTCAGGTGTCTTGGCCGCCATTCCATGATCTTTTCTTTCAATATCTTCTCAAGTCTATTTGAAACAAAAGAACAGTTCAAACAACTGTGTTTGAAATGTTTCTTCAGTGCAACTCTGGCTTCATGATTTATTGAACATCTGAAAGATAACTGGTTGACCACTGTGAGATCGACATCTGCCTAATAAAATCTGTTTTGTTTAGGCAAGAGCAATGGAGATCAGACTAGTCTTCAGGCAGAATAGTTTTCTCCTTGCAGATTTTTGTTAACACAGAAGAACACTCAGTTGTTTTAAATGTCATTTGCCATGTAAATATTAGCCCAAACTGTGGTTTATGGTGTCATCTGCTATTTGTGAGAATTAAGCCAGGGTGCTAAAAAAGACACGTACATTAGAAAGTATAGCACAGGGTAAGCTAGTTAAAGTCCATATAATTTTCCCAATTCCTTTAAGTTGCAAACTTTAGAAAACTGAACTGGGGAAAGCAAAAAATCAAAGAAATTCATTACCAAAACAGTTTAATATTCATTAGGCAACTGTAATAAGATATAAATCATTGTTAATGCAGTTGCAAAATACATTAGACCATCTTACCTGCTCTGTAGTTCTAACGCAGCTGCCTTGTTTGCAGGTTGATAGAATAGTTCTTCAGGCTAACAAAACATGAAACAAATTGCAATTTGGTATTTAGGAAGCATGAAATATGAAATATGTAATCTCACCTAAATAGAAACAACCAGAAAAATCTGCAGTAGCTGAACATGCCCTAAAAGAAACTGGACATGAAATTCTATTTCAAAATACTGCAATACTGGACAACACCAGCAATCATTACGTCAGACTGCACAGGGAAGCCATTGAAATCCACAAGCACCAGCAGAACTTCAACAAAAAAGAGGAAAGTTTGAAACTCAACAAAACTTGGCTCCCAGCTCTCAAAAATACAGCATGCAAAAGGTCAACGAACTCTACCCAGCCACAAGGACAGGGGATCACTACACACAAAAGACCAGGTAATTACACCCATCAACCACAGTGACAGATAATCTCTTCTCCTTAGCACAATACACCCACAACAAGACATATTAATCACAGATCTACAGAAAAAGACAAAAGCCTATCTCACATAAATACTGCACTCCCAGGCCAACTACAGCAGAGCACAGAGTGCTGTCCTTTGAAGATGCCGGCCACAGAGACTGGTGAAACGTTAGGAAGAACAACCTTCAGAACATGGCCAAAGAGCCCAAAAAACCCACAACAACCATTTGCCAGTATTCTACTGAGATGAGCAGAAAGCCACCACCACCACCTAGTAAGATGAATCACACTGCTTGTGCAAGCATTGCTGTTGTGCAAAGGGCAAGCTTTCTTCATGAAAGTAACCACTTGTATAATGGCAGTGCCAGTGCCAGAGACACTACTGTTGTGTTGATGTGCTACAATATTTCCCACTCAATGGAAGCTTAATAGAATATGGATATTATATAATTTAAAATACCACTCTACATTTTTTCAGGATCTGAAGGATCATCCTATTTGTATTTCATACCTAATGTCAAAAATTGTGCAAAACTTATTTTTTACAGCAGGCGTTTGTTTCATTTATTAAAATACTGTGGTTCAAAGTTAAATAAGCAAATGTGTTGAAATTATCTCCAGGACCAGCTTCATAATATTGGTGCATTCTTCTAACATTGGGGTTTTGTTTTTTAGACAGATAACTAACCAGAGCACAATGGGAATACCTAGGTACTGCTGGATCGGAAAGAAAATTTGCCAGTCTTGCATTTATGCTTCAGAGGCAGTCTCTGCGATCTAAGGTGTTTTGTATTCATTCACTCAGATATATGTCTCTCCAGATTTCAATTATAATGATAGAATCTAATGCATTAAAATTTAAAGCATCACCTTCCGAAACACTAATAGTGAGCACATTCCAAAAGCTGTAGAAAGCCTCCTTGCTAAAATATGTATAAACAGAAGAAAACCCCAAAGAACTGTGACATGTTAAAAACTAAGGATAGTATCCTACTGCAGGGAATACACTGCAGAACAGTCCGTTGTGTAACTGCTCATGCAAGGAGGAAGCGAAAGGCTTGTTTAAAGCAACTGGGCAATCTCCAGCTTGCATCAGCCTGTGGAGCTGCTACACTCAGCAAAAAGGAACAGGATGCTAATTACTTATTTCAATGTGAGCTTTTGTTGATTACAGTCCACTTTCTTAAGCATGTGGTTTATATAAACAGTTCATGGGAGTAGGATAGGGAACAGGTATAGGTGATCACAGAACCAAAAGGAAGGCTAATGATGTAGGTGATCACGGAACAAAGAGAAGGCAATTAGCCTTCAGAGAAATTACAGAGTCAACCACAGATGGCCAAGCCAGCAGAGCCTCAAGAAGACGCCTTGAGAACTCTTTTATTAACATAGCACGATTCCACAAAATGTGAGAATTCAGATAGGATACTAGTTACCTAATCGTCACTAGGATTGGCCAGAGAAAGTCTTTGAACTTATGAACTAACTCTAAGGGAAAAGGCAGACTGAGGTGTCACCCCACCCACTGGCAGCTGTCGCTCTCTGCCAGGAGAGTTTGCTCTCACTGAAACAGGTAAGAGCTAATGGCCTTGGGCAGAAGCTTCCCACAAACAGCTAAAATGGAAAAAAGGGAGACAGATACACTGATGATGAATGTCTACAGTGAAACAGTATTATTTACACTGCTAATGAACAGCTGAAATATTGATTAAACAGACATCCTATTAATAGCTTTAAAAATCAGCTAATTGTGACATCTCTTCTCCATCTAATTTGCTTCCCACTTCTCTACCATATACCATATTTTTCCATTAATATGACACATATGTATAACACACACACCCATTTTAACCCATTTGAGCCCAAATGCCTGAGCACCCTCCGGGCTGGCAAGTCCTCTGGAGGGTGGCCAGGGGACGCCTTTCCCCCCCTCCCCAAATATAGCCCTTCACCCTGTGCTCCGCTGCTCTCTGCCCTGCTCACTCACTCTCCTGTGGCACCGTAGGCACTCAATGGGCAGCAGCGATTTCACACTGAGGGGTCGCCAGGTGCAGCTCCTCCTTTGCCTCCTCCTCCTGCTGCTGTCACTGCCTGATCACTGCCTCCAGTGCCACTTGCAGGCTCCCTTCAGGTGGGGGACAAGGTGGCGATGTGAGCTTGAGCTGAACCCAGGCAGCAAGTGCTCTGCACCAGGCTGGCATGGGCAGCAGCATTGGCATGGCTCGTGTGCTTACAGGGAGGGCTCTGTGTGCCAGCTGTGGCACATAGGTTCAGCTTCCATGTACAGGATGATCCTCAATGTTTACTCTAACTATTTTAGGAAAAAGTGGTCTCTTATATACTGAAAAATACAGTACTCTATATGAACTATTATGCTCCAAGTGTTTAATGAATGGATACTAAATCACAAAAGCTCACACTGAAATAAATCTGTTAGTCTTTCAGATGTCACAATAGTTTTGTTTTTCTCCTGTTGTTTTACATGAAAACTCCTAGCTATAATTTATTTATTTTAGTTTTTTAAAAATATATGTTTATCCCACCTTTCTCCTTACAAATAACCCAAGGCAGCTTATTATTAAAAAGACAGTATGTAGAAGCTAGAAACAGTGGGTATACAAATATTTCAAAACAACAACAAATTAAACAAGTATTACATTAAAAGCAGTAATGAAATCAATACCAAAACACATTTAAAACAAGAGAGCACAACCATTCATTAAAAAAAAACCTCTCAGACCACAAGTTAATTGAGGAAGGACAGCAATAATGGGGGCAGCCTAGCTTTCCATGAGAGGGAGTTGCAGAGTCTGGGAGCAGCAACAGAGAAGGCTCTCTCCCGTGTCCTCACCAAGCACACCTGTGAAGGTGGTGGGATCAAGAGAGAGGCCTACCCTTGATGATCTTAATGCTTGCAAAGGCTCATAGAGGGAGATGCAGTCTTTTAGATAGCTTGGATTCAAGCTGTTTAGGGCTTTATAGCTTAAGAGCAGCACTTTGAATGGCGCCCAGAAATGGATTGGCAGCCAGTGGAGTTACTGTAACTGGGGTGGGGTGGGGAGTTGTCACATGATCTCTGTAACCAGCCCCAGTCAGCCCTCTGGCTATTGCATGTTGGAGCCGTTGACATTTCCGGACACTTTCCAAAGGCCCCACATAGTAATCCAGTCGAGATGTAACTAGAGGATGTGTCACTGTGGCCAAACCAGCCCTCTCAAGAAACAGGTGCAGCCAGCTCACTAGTTTTAATTATGCAAAGGCACTCCTAGCCACTGCCCAAACCTGGGCATCTAGGCTCAGAGATGAATCCAGGAACACCCCCAAGCTGCACAACCGTGTTTTCAGAGGGAGCCTAACTTCATTCAGCACAGGGTGCAACCCTATTTTTTTCCTTGATCTGCTTTTCAACTGACCAGGAGCACCTCCATTTTATCTGGATTAAGTTTCACTTTATTCGCCCTGATCCAGTTCATTATTGACATCAGACACTGAACCAAAACAGCTTCCTTGGATTTAGATGGAAAGGAGAGATAGAATTGGGTGCCATCAACATACTGGTGACATCGAACCCCAAAACTCCAGACAGTATATCCCACCGGTTTCATGTAAATGTTAAATAGCATAGGGGACAAAACAGATCCCTGAGGTGTTGAACAGGGTCCCCCAGTAGTCCCCCAGCACCACCCACTGAGTTCTCCCCCCCCCAGGAAGGACCAGATCCAATACAATGCCTCCAAGTCCCATCCAAGAGAGATGGCCCAGAAGGATGCCATGGTTGATGGTATTGAAAGCCGCTGAGATGTCCAGCAGAATCAACAGGGACATACTCCATCTCTCCAGTTCCCAGCATAGGTTGTCCACCAAAGCAACCAAAGCAGATTCTGTCCCACAATGAGGCCTGAAGCCAGACTGATGGATCTAGATAATCGATCTCATACAGGAACCCCTGGAGCTGAAAAGCCAAATTCTGCTCCAGCACCTTGCCCAAGAATGGGATATTAGAGCCTGGTTGGTAATTATCCAGTATTGTGGGGCCCAAAGAGGGCTTTTTCAGTAATGATCTTATTACTGCTTCCTTTAAGCTTGCTGGGATCCTCCCCTGCTGCAAGGAGGCATTCACTACCCCTGGGACCCACTCAGCCAGTCCCTCTCTGGCAGTTTTATAAGCCAGGAAGGGCAAGGGTCCAGGACACAAGTGGTAGCCTTCACCAGTCCAAGGATCCTGTCCACATCATGTTGGAAAAACTGAAACTTATCCATCAACACTGGACAAGCAGGAGCCATAGTTACATCTATAGAAATTGTATTAATTATAGCATTTGAGTGGAAAAGAACATTTTTTCCTGCAAAGTGCTGTGCAGATTTTTCAGAGCTACCCAGTAGTCAACACTATCTTCCTGTGGGCTGTGATGTAAGAGGCCCTTGACCACACAGAAGAGCTCCGCTGGGCAACTTTGTGCAAATGCAGTGGTGGCAGCATAGAATGACTTCTTCGCTGCCATCACTACCATGGAATAGGCCTTCCAGTGTGCTCTAGCCTGTGTTTGTTTGGATTCACTCTGCCATTGTAACCCTAGCCTCTATCCCATTTTTTCATCACCACCAGCTCCCC